CGAAACTCACCTTACTCTGATCTTCCGGGCACAATGGAATCTGATGGTATCCCTGAGATGCATCCATCATGCTTAGTAATTCGCAACCAGCCGTAGAGTCGACGAGCTGATCGATTCGTAGTAAGGGATAATGATCTTTTGGGCAGGCCAAGTTCAAGTCACGGAAGTCGATGCACATGCGCCATTTGTTTAATGCCTTTCTTACCATCACGGTGTTGGATATCCACTCAGGAAATTGGATCTCTTTGACGTGTCCTGCTCGCAACAACTTATCTACTTCGATCTCAATTGCTTTGTCGATTTCCTCACCATGGTGTCTGAGTCGTTGCTTTACTGGCTTTCTGAGGGGGTCGACGTTGAGCTTATGCTCCATAATAGCGGGGTCGATCCCCGTCAACTCCTCAGGGGTGAAGGCGAAGACATCCCTGAACTCCCTTAATAGTGTGGTGAGTTGGTTTCGCAGTTCGTCTTTCAGATCTCTCCCGACCTTGGTGGTTTGTTCCTTCGTTTCTTCGATTTGTATCTCTATTAGCTCCCCATGTGGTTCGAGATCACTGTTTCTTGGCCTTTTTTCGCTTATTGCCGGCTTCTTTCCCTCAACTTCTGTTCGTTGGTTTGTTTTTACAGCTATCTGGTAACAAGTTCTCGATAGCTTCTGGTCTCCTCAGGCCTCCCCTACTTGATTTCCGACGGGAAACTTTAGCTTCATGTGGTAGGTCGACACTACCGCCTGGAATGCGTTGAGCGCTGGCCTTCCTAGAATCACATTATAAGCCGACTCGACGTCAACTACAACGAACCGCACCATTTTTACTTTCCTCAAATCGCCTTCCCCGAGGACGACTGCGAGTGTGGTTTCTCCTAGGGGTGCAACTTCTGAGCCATTAAACCCAAAAAGTGAGTAATGCGGAGGCACAAGCTCGATGTCGAGTTCCATCCGTTTAAGGCAGTTGTAAAAGATCACATTCACTGAGCTTCCCGTGTCGACAAAAATTTTCTGCACTTCATAACCTGATATTTGGGCAGTGATCATTAGAGCGTCATTGTGGGGTCTCTCGACCTCCCCCACATCTGCTGGCCCAAAATTCATCACTGGACCGCTTTCCTCAACTTGTTGCACTTCAATTTTTCCATGGCGGCCTCGAGCGTATGCCTTTCTGGCCCGATTTGAGTCTCCATCAGTCGGCCCTCCGAATATCATATGAATTATTCCTCTTTTCTGAGGGAGCTCCTCCTTGTCGGGTGTCCTCGCCCTCTTGCGAGGGCTCTTGCTTCTCTCCCTTCGCCGACTGGTTCAATCTCGATCTTTATAAACGAACTCCTTCAGGTAGCCTGCTTTGATTAGCCTCTCGATCTCATTTTTCAGGTGCCGACATTCCTCGGTATTATGCCCATAATCCTTGTGGAATCGACAATACAGGTCACTTTTGGGTTTTGTCGGTCCGTCTTTTCTCGTCTGTGGCCACCTGACCACATTTTCGCGAATTTCTTTCTCCATTACCTCTAGTATCCTTGCGCTCGAGGCTATCAGGGGGGTATACTGAGTTGTCCTCCATCCCCTTGATCGCCCCTCCCTTTCCGACTTCAGGGATCCTTTCCTTTCTCCCGTCGCCGTTGGTTTCTTATCCTTCTTCTCGTCCCGAGACTCAATTTTTGCTTTAGCTGCCTGCAAAAAGTCGGCTTCAGCTTCCTCGACATTCATGTACTTGGCGCACCTTCCCAATACTTCATCGAACGCCCTCCCGGGTCGTTTCGCTAAGGAGTTCCTGCACAATCCCGGGAGTAATCCTCAAGTGAGTCCTCCCGACTTGATTTCCTCAGTGGCTGAGGGGACGTCGACGCATGCTCGCGTGTATCTTGCCACGTAATCCCTCAATGATTCTTTTTCTTTTTGTTGCATGCCTATCAGGGTGAGGTAAGACTTTTCTTGGGCTTTTACACTTGCGAATTGATTTAGAAAACTTGAACTAAATCCGTCAAAGTCCCTGACGGCTCCTGGGGGTAACTGATGAAACCAGTCTTGCGCAGGCCCCCGCAGAGTTGTCAGGAACGATCGACATTGGACGGGGTCATTGTAGCGGTGCAGTACTGCTATGTTTTCAAAACTCCTCATATGTCGAGAGGGGTCAGTCGACCCATCGTACCAGATGTTAAGTTCTCTAAACCCCTGAGGCAGGTCGGCGTCTAGGATATGCTGTGAAAAAGGGTGTCCCCTCGAGCTCCCTATTTTTCTCCCCTCTACTCGAGCCTGCAAATCTCCACCTGCGCTAACAATTGCTCCAGGGTGTCGTTTCTCGCCTGTGGATTGACAGTCCTGACAGAGGATTCCTCTTCATCTGCCCTCCTGTTCTGCCTTTCATGCGACT